GAGGAGGGAGGTGAGGGGAGGGGAGGGGAGGGAGGGGAGGCTTCTGGGAACGAAATGCTGCCCTTTTTTTTACAACTTTGTTCATGGAAGGGTAAGTTCTGCACAAACAAGGTTGGGGGGTGAGGTAAAGAGAGGGAGGGGACAGGGGGGCGCGCGGCGAGACGGGGAGGGGATGTGGAGAGGGGAGGGGAGGGGGGCGGGGCGGAGCGGGGGCGGGGGGGGCACCAAAGGGAAGTGGAGTGGCCTGGCGAGACGGCTTATGGGGAACGAAATGCTGCCCGTTTTTTTACAACGTTGTTCATGGAAGGGTAAGTTCTGCACAAGGTTGGGGGGTGAGGTAAAGAGACGGAGGGTGGAAAACGTGTGTAATGAGTTGTCAAAGTGGTTTTAGTAGACATCTGTCTGCAATTGTAGGTGTTGGAGTGTATTTCGATGATATCAAGCCTCACAAAGCGGAACCAAGGCACCCGAACGAACTCCGAACGAACTCGGTCGAAGGCATGTCGCTCATGATAATTTCCGAACTTTTATATATAAAATAAAGTTATAAAAGTTCGGATTTCATCATGAGCACCATCGTTTTTATATGAACTATCATGAAAAACGATGGTGCTCATGATGAAATCCGAACTTTTATAACTTTGTTTTATATGTAAAAGTTCGGAAATTATCATGAGCGACATGCCTTCGACCAGGTTCGTTCGGAGTTCGTTCGGGTGTCTCGGTTTCACCTGATGAGCCCTGATACCATCGAAAAACACTATGCAAAGCATGATTTCAGACGAATGTTTACTAAAATCAACTTTGACAACTCGGTGCACTCCTTGCATCTGTTGCGAAGCCCGTGCATGAATAGTAACGGCTGTAACTGTGGAAACTTTCTTAGAAACACTTACATTCGTATCCGTAACCCCGAAACCAAACACAACCAAACCAAACTCCTGAACAACTCTACGGTCCAAACACATAAACCCCCAAACGCCTGGGCACTCTCAACCAGGGCAGCCGTGGCAGCGTCCCACCGGCCAGCGGCTGCACAAACACAAAGGCGAGGGCGAGGGTTGTTGGTTTTGGCGGCTTAGGGCTTAGGGCTTAGGGTCTGGAGTTTAGGTTTGGGTCTTTAAGGTTTCGGATGTTAGGGCCGCTGCGATATTTTGCAGGCTAGTGCTTCGAACGGTTTAGAGTCTATAGGGTTTATGAACTTATACAAGGTTTGGCGTTGCTGGTTACGTGCGCAGGGTGATTGGGTTTCGGTTTGGGAGTTTTGGGCTACAGGGTTGCATGATTGAGGTTCAATATTCAAGCTTGCAGGGCTTCTGGCTAGTGGTGGCATGGGTTCGAGGCTCACGGTTTGTTTCTTGTTGTTGATATGGTGTTCCTGTTTCGGGTCTTGGGTTTAGGCGCTGGGGGCTTGGGGTTCGTTGCTTTAAGTTTGGCGGTCTAGGGCTTAGGATTTGGATTTTGGGGATTGAGGGTGCAGGCACCTCCGACATTTGCGGTTTTGGTTCTTAGCCTGGGGCCTGAGGTTCAGTTCAGAGCACCATGGTGTGCATGCACAATATAGTGGTGGCTGGACTATCGACTATGGTGGCACTCAATTAGCAAAGCAAACACATGTCATCATGTCCTCCGTCTCTCTAGAATTCGCCAAAATATACAACGTTTGGGACCGTTTGGGTGCTGGGAACAACGGAAGTCTCCGGGTGTTTGTTTGCGTTGCAATTGCGAAAGGTCATCTTATGCTTAGTATGGCCGTCGTGCGATGATAATTATATGGGGATGTGCGGGATTAGGGCTTAAAGACTATCCTATCTAAATTAGAACCCTAGCACATCTCAGCCTGTCGACGCCGGTGCTGGGCAGCAAGCAGCGGGCCCCCCGCCGGGGGGAGGATGGGATACGCGTGCCCGATAACCCGATATAACTTTCTGTTGCGGCCGCATATTATTTGGTGCCACCGCCTATCCAGCCGTTTCTAATGTGTCCTTATGTGCCTGCCTGAACCTCGACACCTTCGTAGAGCTCGAGGTCGATCTGGGTTCAGTCCGATTGCCCAGAAGTTGTCTGCGCTCCCAAGCTGTCGTCCGTCGCAATGTCCATGTGCGGCTCCTTGCGCACCAAGATCCGTGCCAAAAGTGTGTTATGGAAAACTCTCCTTGGAGAGATCTGCGATCTGATCTTGGCTTCGACGGAAAAGTTATCAGAACCATGCAGGCCATGCAGAGAGTCTTCCCGGAGCCTGTGTTGTGATCGAAGAGCAACACGTGACTTTCTCCAGGATGGGTGATGCAAGTCGTCACTTGATGCTGACTTGACAAACAAGCTGTGTTTCGCCTTCGGTAGGCGGCGTCCATCACGCAATGCAAGTTCGCCGAACCAACTCCGAGTCGGAGTTTGCCAGGGGGGGGGAAGTGGGGTCCGAAGTCCGAAGGTACCCAGAATGATCTTACTGAGTATTACGGAGCCATGTTACATTCCGAATGGACTATTTCCGAAGATCAACGACAACCTCCCACATCCCCCTTAAGTACTACAGGAGGACGTCCTAAACCCAAGAAAACAGATTTTGTCTAAGAAAAATCGTTTCGCGTTTGTTTGGGGGTCGTCCTCCTCCACCTAACCCCTCAACCCTGGCTCCATCTAGGCGCGAAATGTCTGCAACGTTGGATCGACCGCCGCCCGCTGACCGCCCTGAACTGAATTCCTGAATCTGACCGAATCTCAACTATACTTATGCTTTCACCGCATAATACGCACAAGTCACAAGACCTACATCCTACATCCCTTGCCGATCACGTGAACCTAGAAACCCAAATGCCAAATACCAACCCTCTCCCACTCTCTGGATTTGTCATAGTCATATGTATACACACACGCATATGTGTAATTTTGGATAATACCTCAATGATACATGATATAACCTCTTTCCCTGAACCCTGCGCTATGCATCCTCCTTCATGCCTCCAATCACAACCTGAACGAAGAATCTCAGGACGAATATGCACATTTCCGCAGGTACAACCCCAAATCAAAGTTTAGACAACCTGTTTCACCTGACCTGAACCCTAAATTCCTCCTGAGTCCTGCCGTATCAATCTCGAATGATTGCCAGAATCTCTTTCCTCCCCCCCCCCGGCTTCGAACCCAAACCCCAAAACCCAATCTGTTTAAGGGCTTCGGGAATAGGCTTTGTGATTCAAACGCAGCGTTGATGTTGAGGGGCCCGCGTAGAAGCCGTAGTAGTAGTAGTAGTAGTAGTAGTAGTAGTAGTAGTAGTAGTAGTAGTAGTAGTACTACCACACCAAACCCTTGAAGCCTGGAGCGCCGTAAACAATTGTTGAACCCTGAATCCCTGAACCTCGGAACTCCAAACCCTCCAAGCCCCAAGCAACGAGCGCTGCCCACTGCCGCCTGCCGTGAGGCACCTGAGAGGCTGCTTGACTTAGTACAAACTTCCGAACTTCGGACACCAACACACCATGCGATTAAGTTTGTCATCAGAGAACAGAGAACCAGAACCTCCGAATTTCAAAGCAAAGCCGTGTCTTCCGTCTTCCCTGCAAATTGCGCCCCGACCTAACTCAACGCTGAAACCTCATCCCTACTGCAGCCAACAGTGTAACAGTGCATGTATCCATTGCGAGACAATTGAATTCTGATGCCGATCGTGCTTCCAACCCTTTCGATGTATCAGGAAGGGTTCAACCTGCTGCCAGCAAGAACATGCAAGATGAAATGATCATCTTCTGGTCATTCTGGTCTGGACACAATCAATGACTGCGTATGACTTAAAGGACCGGGGGCCTAAGTTGGGAATTAAGCTACAACAGCTACAAGGCTACAAGTATACGATGATTAGGCAACTAAGTTTGTAAGAAATATAAATATGATAACCTTGTTGAAGACCCTATTTTCTAAGATCCCGGGTTCCTGATGCCTGTAAAGAGATCATCAGTCGATTTTTACTGCAAGCGCGGTGGATTCCGCTGGACTGCTGAATGTGGGCCGTTGAAACGATTCGAGCTTCTGCTGTTGTCGATGCATTCGACCTTCGGTCGAAATAATCAGGCGATTTCACACCAAGTGCGCTGGAACGTGAACCGAGGGCAACGTCGATTCGAGCTGCTCAAAGTCAATACGCTCAAGCTCGTCAGCTGGCATCGTGTCCTGAAACGCCATGTGTGCCTGCCTGGCCTCTTCTCCGCGCTTGTCCGCGCCCAATGCAAATCCTCGCAACAAAGATATGTGGGGTGGTCTCAGAGTCTCAGTCAGGTCACCGAGGATTGACTTAGACGAAGGCGGGTGAATTACACATGTTGTATCACCTGTCAGTGCATGTGTGGTGCCACAACACCTGCACCAGGTCGCCACAACTGAGTTTGCGAATGAGGGAAATGGTCCTTCAGCACACCATCGCTTGAGTCTGCGAACGACCTGATCGTGGTTGTTGTCGTCCCGCACTGTCATTGTCCGTGTGCACCTCGGCTTCAAGCTTGGCGATCTATCTCATAAAAAACAGAGCTGCCGCCGCTGCCGCCGACCCTTGCCAACTTACTCTCTCACTCACTCTGAGACTCAGTCTCTGAGCCTGTGAATGCGCATTGGCACACGGGCTTCCCTCTCTCAAACAATCTCTTTCTCCCTTTCTCCCTGACTCCCTGGCTGTATTATCTAGTATCGGCCTTTACTTTACAGACACTCAGGCGCCCACTGATGTGTCTTGCCATCGGACTTGTACGAATGTACAGGACACTTGGCCACATAGCAATTGCGATCAGCACGGTAACCGATGACGAAGTTGTCACCGAAGAAGGCCGTGCGCTCGTTGATAAACGACGCAGAGCCTGGAGCACTTCGTACACCGTCAAACCCAAGCTTCATTGGCCGCTTTGCCCCACCGACTGCAGCGGATCGAGCACCGTGTCGAGGAGCTGCTGCTGCCACTGCCACTGGTGCTGCCGGTGCTGCAGCAGCAGCTCGCTGCAGAATCGAATCGTTTTTCAACTTCCGAGCTTTCCGGCGCCGCTCTGATGCATTATCTTCGGCTGGCGCAGCATCATCTTCATCACTAGTAGCAGACGGGGCCGCTGGAGCCGCGGGAACCTCACCAAGAGCAGCCTGCTCACCGGCAGGCAAGGCCGCTGTATCCTCACCAAGGGCTGCAGTCTGCTCGCCGGCAGTCGGGGGAGCCGGGGCCGGTGCATCCTTAACTTCGGCTGCAGCCTGCTCACGGGCAGGCGGGGCTCGGGCTGGGGCTGCTGCTGCTGCATCCTCCCCATTGATGGTGGTTGCGGCATGCTCCTCGACAGACTGGGCCGCGGCCGCGGCATCCTCAAAGGCGGTTGCAGCCTGCACCCGTTCTGTCAGTTCTGTCTGCATAAGTTCTTCCAGCTCCTTTTGTAGATCCGATTGGGATTCGGGTCGGCTCTCTAAGCTCGCTGCCGAATCGGAGTCAGCCACTGAAATCACATCCTTCCATTCATCGACAAGGCCATGCAAAGGCTCATCTCTGTCGCCCTCGTCGTCGTCATGGAGGGCCGTCTCTGAGGAAACTTTGCCACCGGGTTTCACGGGGCCGAGCTTGCGTTTCCTGTTTCGGCCTCGGCCTCTGCCTCTGCTGCCTCTGCCTCTCTCCTCGCCTGGCGGAGGCAGAAGAACAAGCTCGTCTGCCAAGCGCTGCTGCCGCCCACCGCGGAGTAGCTCTCGATAGAAAGATGCCTGCAGCATGCATGGGTGACACTGGTTCTGAGGACATACTACGCCTACACGGACAACTCAAGGACTCCGACCCGGCACCCTGGCCCTGTCCCTGGCCTTTCTTCCAGGAATGCATTCTCGTGGATGACATTGCAAGGCACGATAGTAGGCCAGGGAGCCATTGTGAGCGATGCCTGGCGCTCCTGCGATGCATTCAACAGGGGACGCTCTCAGCTACGAAAAGAAGAACTCGCAGGACTCAAAACCCGGGGTCCGTGATGCAAGCGAGTGTAGCTAACATAAAGAACCGCGATGGCATATTGGACCCTCGGTCTGACCGGTCCAACGAGCCACATATTGCTCGAAACCCTCGTGCCTCGTGCCAGCCAGATTTAGAGTCGCACTGAAATATCTGACCAAACCGACCAATGTGACGCACTATGTGACACTGACAAACAAACCTGGAGGATCTAACATGCCAAACCGACCTACCCTCGCATCTTGGACCCTGGTCTTCCAACTACACCAACTCATGATTCCAGACTCCCAGACCGTCCCTCCAGTATAACTCCAGTAGCTGAGGGTATCACTCACCAACTCATATCTTGCAGATCCCAGCCCAAGTTCAGCCCAAGCGGCCCTTTTCCAAGAGGCTCTCAGCCTTTGAAAGCACCATCAAGTAGCACCGCACCGTGTCCGTGGCTTTGATCGATCCACTCAGAGTGTAGAACTGCTTCGGACTGTCAGCCGTGTGCAACGCAGCCGACGCAGCCGGAAGCGCTTGGCAAACAACCTCCGGTGATCAGACAAATGCTAACAGGTGCTCAATCATTGTCATTTCCACTTTCCGACTAGTCAAGACTGTCAAGCGTTGCAATCGCTTCGCTCAGTTAAACGATCGAATCCGATTGTCACAGCACCTAACGACATGTGCACGAAGCAGCACTGCTGCTACACGACTGCAGACTGCAACGAGGAATCATGCCACACGTCCGGGAATCTTGCACACAGTTTCAGTTTCTACATAGTTGAACTTACGTTGCCCGTCGAGTCGAGTGGCATGCGTCCAACCGTTTTTGCACAGATGCTGAAACAATTCCAGAATGGTCATCTCGACTGGATCGACATCATCCTTATAGTGTTGAGCTCAGAAGCGGGGAATGACAACAGGGTGCGTGAGGTGGGCCAAGGCACCGAGTCAGCGTGTCAGCGGCTCAGCGAACCTCACTTCCTCAAGCCTCAAACGTAAAACTAATATGATGCTTGCAGAACTGGTTCTCGAGCAACGCAAACTTGACGTGGATGGCTCAGCCGGAAACTGGTTCGCAAGAGCCGAACCTCATTTTCTCGATCGCTATCGCTATCTCACTGAGTCCGAAAATCAACAGAGGCCCAACATGGCCGAACAAATAGGACACATGACTGCAGGCTGGACACGAACGGTTCCGTCAGCTGGTACATGAATGCACATGTCGGTGCTTCCGGTCGCTTTTCGATTGCTCCAGCTTTCAATAAGAAATCATGAGCCGATGCAAGCTTCGCTCCTGGAGCGGTCATTGAGCACTCCGAGCCGCTGAACGCCGCCTGCTGCACGTACGACTTCACAAGCCGAAACACATCCGCTTGTAAAGCTAATGGGACGCACAGCACTTTGATCACTTCAGAGACTGCCACGACAGGCTCGACGGTGAATGAGACCAAGCTGTCGATGAACTGCTGGCAGTCCAAATCCCCCTCCGCGCCCGCCCCCTCAAAGGCTGTCCACGCGCAGAGCGACGCCGCATGCTGATTCGACACCATCCAACGGTCACCGTCAGTGGCTGCGTTGTCGCCGCTTCCACTTGCACCCGCATCGGATGCGTTGTCACCGGAAGACCTAGAAGTTCCTAGAAGAGTCGCCAATATCCCTGATCTGCTAGATGCTAGACTGCTAGACTAGTGCGACATGCGAGAATTTTCAACTTGCTGCCGCATCGCGCGTGCTCATACACCTTGATCACCATGTGATTGCTGTCCAGCGCACGACAGCCTTGCGGAAGTTTATATCTCGACGGCGCCGAATGAATGACCTGACATGCATCAGATTCTGGTAATGTGGTCCCTGTCGCAGCTTGCACTGTACTCTTGTATTTGGGTGGAGCCCGAAATATGAGGCCCAAGCCCTGAAGATCATGTAGCCACCTCCACTGAAGCGGACTGGGCCAGTAGGCATCTCCCAGGCCGTGGGAGCTGCTGCCACTGCTGAGCCCACGCAGCAGGTGCTATCCGGCTGCAAGAGATTCAACTCTGTCGATGGCAGCGCCAGAGATACAGCAGTTTGTTGCATCTCGAACATAACATTTCCGTTTCCAATGGACGTCAGCTCCTTTAGTTGACGCCGCGCCAATTGTTCGGGCAGTCCGTAGAATTGTGTCCCATTGCAGACCTTCCTGACATGATCCATTAGCAGCTCTCGTAGACCTGCTTCATTCATGATGGCCGGCACCGGACCTGGGCTGGGCTATGAAATGATGCCACACCGTCACTGACCAGCAAGCCAGTGCCATGAGTCATTGCAGGCAGTTGCTGAGATATGTTTCCGAGAAGCATCCAATGGTCACTGATCTGTTCAACTTCGTGTGCTCCACAGATTCTTGAACAGCACCGTTTGCGATGAACTGACTGTCCATCCCGGTTCTGTAAAGAAGGTCCATGCGTTCTTCAGGCGTGAAAGACCTCTTGGCTTGCGCTGCCGGCCTGCAGCCGTTGACATTGCATAAACGAAATGAAATAAGTCTGGCAGCGAGTCAGCGAGTGAGCGAATTACAGAACCTGAACATTGCCGCAAATTGCCGCCGTCACCAAAACACAACACCCAGCAGCCAAGCAGCCCACCGATGGTCTTGGCAATCAAGTCGTCGCAGGATTTCTGATTGCACAAGCAGTTTCCGAATTGCTCACATAGTTTCAATGTCTCCTGACAAAGAAACAGATCGCGACATTGAAGTCATTGAAGCCGAAGAACCAAAGAGCTGCTGTTGCTGAGTGAGTGGGTCGAGTATTTGTGGCACAAAATCCTGCTTTCCATGATTTCCATGACCTTCTTTCATTGTACTACTACTTAGGACATCAATCACTGGCATGAATATGCAGTGTGCTACCAACTCACACTATGTCTAAAGGTCGCCTGTGGATTTGTTTCCAACTGCTGCTCCAAGAAGTTGACTCGCAAGTGTATCGATACGAGCGCAGGAGAATAATTCTTCTTGGCGACAGCTTTCACCATAGCGTGATCCCCTTCGATACCCTGTTCGCCTCACAGAACAGGCCGATGGTTGTGCCAAGAAGACAGCACGCACACTTGTATTCGCGCAAGTCAGAAGTAACACGAGCTTGGACCACAAACAAATGAAGCGGAGCGTCTGCACTGAATCGCCCGGAATCCATTCATCCATGCCTGAAACTCATGGAGCATGTCCTGAGTGACCGTGGTGTCCTGCGCGAGATCTTTTTTGGTGAGTCCTCTCGCCAACGCCACCACGCAGGGACGAAGACTGTTGTCATGATGGCCAAGAAATATTCGATTCAGCAAATGGGATTTGTCGCCGACGTCCTGAGGCAATGCAGCATTACATGCCCCAGAGCTCGGATTCGGATATGTTGGATGTGCAAACAGAAGCATGGAAAGAGCGGCAAGGTGCATCAACTTCAATTCTGCGGCGTAGCACTGGCACTGCGGCAGAGCGTGAAGCGTGGATCCGTGGACCTATTAATTTCGGATGCTAATCACCCGACTCGGGCCGGCCCAGCTAGAAAGACACCGCCACCGCCACCGTGGCCGCCACCACCGCCACACAGACGGACCGACAGACAGCCGAACAGACAGACACAAGCAGAGACACAAACATACATACATACATACATACACACACACATACACGCATACACAGACAAACAAAGACGAACATGACACACACACACACACAATGTGCAATGCGGTGGTCGGTGGGAGGGAGCCATTAAGCAAATTAAGCTTGAGCGGAAACATAGGCCTGAGATTCCTGAGATCTCAGATTCTCAGATTCGCGGGAGTTACGGTATTATTCAGGACAATATTCACTGCTCGTCGATGATCGATCCCAGCCCTGTGCCTCAGATCCATCAGGAGCATCCCACAGGGCGAGGCACCGGCCTGACTCACAGTCGTTCGATGAGTCTGAGTGGGACACAGGATTTCTAGAGCCCCTGCGCACAGCCGCACAGCACGAGTGCCCCAAGCCCCGCTCCAATTCCAAGCTCAGTGCGATCACAAACCGTTTGAATCAAACCCAGGAATCGCCGACCAAGCTGCGAGCGCATTCAATCGTGCTTGTTTTGTCCATGTGTGCCAACCTGGGCTGCCGACGAGTTTCAATTTCGGCACAACCATCGTCATCAAAATGGAACTTCGGACGACTAGTGGGTATGCTCGGTCCAGAATCACAAGACTCCGAAATGCAGCCTCGCAACCCAACAAGCTTCCAGGGCAACTGCTGCCAGTTGGCAAATTTCAATGTCAATGCCAAGCATGCCCGGTTGAATCCAATGTCGAAAGCATCCAAGAGGAATTGTTGATCTGGACTGGCCAATCCGCGGGTGGCCTCCAGAAGCTGTGCACTGGAAAAATCCCGCCTCAGACTCTTCCACTGGATGACACTGGACGAAGAAATGAGCACTAATCAGCACGAGAGCATATCTAGTAAAGTGACACTTCTCGAAACTTTGTCAAGTGGTCGCCGGCGGCCAACTGAGGAGCTCGGCGCCCTCGCATGACGCATGTAGACGGCCTCGGAATCGAAATTGGCGAATCTAGACAGCGCGCGAAGTTCCACGAAGCTATATGCTGCATTATCCGGTATTGCCGCCACCATGTGGCCTGGGACTGACTCCTTCATCACAGAAGCGACAATGCTGTAACATAATAACATTACCAGAACTGTCTCGTGGGTGAGCTGCAAGCATGGCACAAGCTCTTGCCCCGGTCTTTGTCCCTGTTGCCGCTCAGGGCTTCCAGCCTGGATGATTTTACGCTCAGGACCAACTAAACATTACAAAGCCGAGGAGGATGCGTTAGAGTGCTTTGTGTTGAAAGTTGGACCCCAGACTTCGAGATCAAGAGGCTGGGCAGCATAATGGTTTAGCAAGTCCACATCGTGACAGGAACATCCTCCAATCCATTCCGAGATCCACTCAAAGATTTGGCCTTAGATTGACAACTCAATTGAGAAATATAACACCGTTCCGAAAGGTGAAGAAACGCGCACGGCGCCAATTGAAGATACAAACTGATGGTGGTTCAGTCCCGAGCCAATGATGAGCACGACTCGGGCATACTTCCAGGCCCTAGCCGCTACCAGCGTGAATTGGTAACGAATTCATTGAGCGCAGCAGCAGACTCAACCACATTGACCAAGCAGGCTGGCAACACCTCTCGTCGTGAATGGCTTCTGAAATCCCCTGAAGGAGTTGCGCGGATTTCTTGACCGTGTCCTGCTCTGCCTGCTCGTCCATCTCGGCCGCCTCGTGCCTCGGCCGGGCTGTCTTAAGCGCCGTGAACCCTGTGCATGACAGCCGTGGCCACACTTCTGCTACTCCAATAACTCTCCAATATATGCGTTCCCAGACTCTCAGCAGCAGAATGGCCAGCCACACGGATCCTGCAAGCCACGGGGGGCGAAGGTCACTGGTTAAGCTGGAGTCGGACAGGTCAAACGATGTCAACAACAAAGCACAAAACCCGCCTCTTTTTGAACAGGTGTTCATCCCAGTACTGACGAAGCACGGGGCCCACCGGTAGCAAAAAGCGCCTCTTCGCATTGCAAGTAGGACTCCGGTAGGACCCAATTGTTTCTCACCAAAGTGCTTCTACTGGGTCATCACAAACAGGTTCCAGGGGCGATCTTTTTCACACAACTATCAAAATAACGATGTCTGAGACTCCAGCAGGTACTCCAGAACACTGTTCCATCTCCAATGTATTGTTGTCCCAGGAAACGAAGACAGCATCTGCTGATGAGGCCTGGGAAACAAGACTGCGCGGAAGCAGGACGCGCGCATCAGTCAGTCCAGTATCTGCGACGTCACTGGCAGACTACGCACGCCAACCAACAGAAGTAACACAAGCGTGGGAAATGGGTCCGCTGCATATGCAAAGCCTGAATGGAAAAGACATTGCAATCGTAAGTTCGTGAAATCTTGCATATTATCGTCCAGTCATATGTAGAAAGATAACCACCAGATCATGTGATCATGTTGACCATGTTCCAATACCGACATCATTGTCGGCTTGATGTCAGTGATGTCAGAGCAACTATTTAGATAACCTGAACGTGTGTGAACGCAACCCCTCCCCCATAAGGCAGCTGCGTTCCGTGGAGGCATGTCCGCCGAAACCTCGTTCGCAGCCTTGTGTTTGCGAAACACTGTTTAGCAGTTCTCCCTTGCCATGGCCATGGCTGCGCATTCCCCATAAGTCCTTAGGGCACCCGCCACTTGTGACTCAGCAATGGCTCCAGATCTTTCAGCCAACGATACCAACGGCGAAAGCCAGGCATGCTTGCCATGACATCTTCGGGTGCGTTGTGGCAGATATGCTTCACCTGGGGCATGTGTAAGAAATGTGGAAGTGGCACAGTGGCACTGATAATGGACTAGTCGATACTCTCAGTGAAGAGGGTACAGATCATTGCAATCATGGATCTCCCGGCACCACCAAAGCAAGCGGGAACACACGGTTCCATTGATGAGAGCTGACAATCTCAGCATGTTCAGTCAGGTCAGTCTCAACCTCATCATCATCATCATCGATGACGAGAATATGCTCGTCTTGCAGCGGGCCAACTTCCTGCAAAACGATTGCCCGACCGCCCGACCCTGGGACGACCGACACGTGTGACATGTTGACTGACACTTGGCTCCAGGCGATGCAGTCAGATTCCTTCAAAGATGCATCCATCCAATCTTGAAAACTCAAGCCGCATACCTTCACCGAGCTGCAAAGGGGCAGACCGATAGTGACGTGCACTTGCTCGCAGCACACACACAGAGACAATCGTGCAAACCCGGGGACAGTCGGTATTTGCGATTCTGTCCCATAATCAGAGAGAAAAGAGATGGTGTTTCGACAGAATCTTTGCATTTCACCGATGATGCTTTTGCCACCACCGCCCAAATGAACCTTCGCCTGATGGAGTACCGCCGTCAGTTTGTGTGGCAGAGAAGTGCACCCGTCACCGAGGCCGACGGGCCTCAAGATGGGCAATAAAATTTACCTTGGGCTTTGCCAGCTTCTTCTGACTAAGTTGGTGCCAGGGTTCGTGGCCCTCCAATGAACAAAAGCTTCCTGCATCTGCTCTGCAACGTCGAGAGGTACCAGCTGCTTCTCGCTGGAAAGCCGCATGTAACGCTCGATTGCCGTAGTGTTCCTGATCGTTAAGTCATGGGCTTACGAACACTTCACCTTGAGCTAACTGCCATTGAGGTGACCTGGCACGTAAGGATTTCAAAAACAACTCCCTCGCGCCCGCTAAATTGCAGTAGTTACAAGACGGGCATCTTCAATATCGCCGTGAAGTGTGTCAACTGCCAGTCGACTCCAGCTTGAGGCGACGAATCCGTTGCGATATTATAGAAAATCTGCTTGCCTTTCATCTGCTGGCGACGGACGATACACAGG